TACTGGAAACTGGGGGCAAGCTAATGCAGCGGGTACAAGGGCTGGTGTTTCGCAGGTCAGCTAATTATTCAGTTGGTTGACAACATTACTTGATCGACCTTCTCCTCGATAAATAATTTTGTTTGTTGATATGCCCCAGGTGCTGAATCGTCTGACTTATGCCTCTACTTTGTCTCACTTGCGACGGTTGAATTCCCCTATTGGACGAGAAGGTTATTGACTTTTCCTCTATACGACTGTTTTGCCTATGAAATATGTGGTTCTAGTTCTACTTTCTGATAGTATTTTGATGTAACTCGCTTCCTCTGGATCAATCATTTGTGACCTAATCTCATGCTAGTAGGGGGTTTTGCTAAATCACGTCCTATTAATCTTTCAAAGAACACACCAAAGCAAATGGAGAAGTTACAATAGGGGTGTAAGGAACTTGGAGCAGTAGTGGATTTATTTGGAAAGAATCAAGTGTTGAGTTGTGGGTTGGTGGTAAACAGAGAGCCCACTGCCCCACTCTACCCATTCCTCTATATTCATTTACATGGGATCTTACTCCTGTCAATTATTTTTTTAGTTAGTTATTACAAGTTCAGCTTCCTTTTATTTTTTTCTTTGTTACTTAGATTTTATATGTTTGTTTACCAGGGAAACTGGCCAAACCAAGGCAATTGCATAATTCACAGTGGGGAATGATGTGTCCTGCAGAAACACCAGAGGGTCAAGTAAGTAACTGCTCTCCTGTGGAGCTTCTGTTATGCCAGGATGTGGCTAGATTAGCCCATCCCTTTCTACCACCCCAAATAAAAACCTGTATAATGCAAATAGGAATAAGATTCTTCGGAGACTGATTCATCCTTGTGATCTTATTAGGCATGTGGGCTGGTGAAGAATCTAGCTTTAATGGTTTATATAACAGTTGGTTCAGCGGCATATCCAATTTTGGAGTTTTTGGAAGAGTGGGGTACTGAGAACTTTGAGGTGAGCAAGATCTCAGTGTGTCGGGATGTTTGTGGTTCAGCTTAATTATGCTGTATTTTCTTTACTATTTTAAGTGTGATGATGATATGGTCTTCATTTGCTCACCATTGCTTTTTCTGTAAATCTAGGAAATTTCTCCTGCAGTTATTCCACAGGCTACAAAGATCTTTGTCAATGGTACCTGGGTGGGAATTCATCGTGATCCTGACATGTTGGTGAGAACATTGAGACGACTTAGGAGACGGGTAAGATACAATCTACACTAATTTTGAGTGGATGACACTAGTGCAGTACGAAGCATATAGCGGAGGGTGTTATAATTACATTGTAATTTCTTGATAATAAAATAATTACATAGTAATCTAGAAAACATCCATATGATGTCAGTTATACATACCTTTGATTATTTTTTTTACATTATAGCAATGCTCCCGGCCAACCATTTTAAACATATGAGTTGGAAGTATGTATTTTGATATAACAGAGATCTTGGAAATGTACTACTCGCGCGGCTACTCTACCTTACAAACTGACATTATCTAATTGCTTCTACTGAGTTCTCTGGTCTCACCCCCTAAGTACCCTCTTTAAACACTCATGGTCTTGTAAATATTATCACTACATTTTCTTTGTTTTTTTTTTTTTTGCGTAAGTGCCCATGTTTCTGATTTATGCAGGTTGACGTCAATACTGAGGTTGGGGTGGTCCGTGATATCCGTTTGAAAGAACTTCGAATTTATACCGACTATGGCAGGTGCAGTCGTCCATTGTTTATTGTGGAAAAGCAAAGGCTGATGATCAAGAAGAAGGATATTCAAACATTGCAACAACGGGTATGCTAATGGCTCTCTTGCCCCCTTCATTGCTATCTTTTGTTGCTTCGATCACACTCAAGTTAGCTTGGAAGTTTGGACTTCTCTCTGCTTCAGGTACTTACATATTCAGTGTTCTTTTTCAGGAATCACCTGACGAGGGTGGCTGGCACGATTTGGTGGCTAAGGGATACATTGAGTATATTGACACTGAAGAGGAAGAGACAACGATGATTAGCATGACTATAAATGTGAGAAGTCAACAGAGGTCTTCCTATTCTAACAGTTTCTGCTGATTATGCTGAGATACTGAAACCATATGTTAATGTTTCCAGGATCTTGTGCAAGCACGCCTTAATCCTGGCGACGCTTATTCTGATACCTATACTCATTGCGAAATTCACCCATCACTAATATTGGGTGTCTGTGCATCAATTATTCCATTTCCTGATCATAATCAGGTGAGTCATGTTTTGGTTGTGACTTCTCTTGTCAAAGTTGCCTCTGATCTTCTAATCTAATGTGCTTATTTGATGTTTTATCAGTCTCCCCGTAATACTTATCAGTCAGCTATGGGTAAGCAAGCCATGGGGATTTATGTCACCAACTACCAATTTCGGATGGTAGGTAGCTACTTATTTCTCTCCATAATATTTGGGAGGTTTTTGTTTCAATATGACAAGGTGACAATTTTCTTTTCTTCTGGCAGGACACATTGGCCTATGTGCTTTATTATCCTCAGAAGCCTCTTGTCACAACACGAGCCATGGAACACTTGCATTTTAGGCAACTACCTGCGGGCATCAACGCAATTGTCGCCATCTCCTGCTATTCTGGATACAATCAAGAGGATTCTGTCATTATGAATCAGTCATCGATTGATCGTGGATTTTTCCGATCTCTGTTTTTCCGTTCGTACAGGGACGAGGAGAAAAAGATGGGGACATTGGTCAAGGAGGACTTTGGACGTCCTGATAGAGCTACTACTATGGGTATGCGCCATGGTTCGTACGATAAGTTGGATGACGATGGTCTTGCCCCTCCAGGAACTAGAGTTTCTGGTGAGGATGTTATCATTGGGAAGACAACTCCCATTTCTCAGGATGATGCGCAAGGGCAAGCCTCTCGCTATACGAGGAAAGATCACAGTACCAGTCTTCGCCATAGTGAAACTGGAATGGTGGATCAGGTTCTATTAACAACAAATGCTGACGGGCTCAGATTTGTTAAAGTGAGGGTCAGATCAGTCCGTATTCCTCAAATTGGGGACAAGTTTAGCAGTAGACATGGTCAGAAGGGAACAGTCGGCATGACATATACACAAGAAGATATGCCATGGACCGTGGAAGGCATTAGTCCTGATATTATTGTGAATCCTCATGCTATTCCTTCTCGAATGACTATTGGTCAGCTGATTGAATGTATTATGGGGAAGGTTGCTGCACACATGGGAAAAGAAGGTGATGCCACTCCCTTTACAGATGTTACTGTTGATAACATCAGCAAAGCTCTGCATAAATGTGGTTACCAGATGCGTGGTTTTGAGACCATGTACAATGGTCATACTGGGCGGCGGCTTAGTGCAATGATATTCCTTGGTCCCACGTACTACCAGCGCCTGAAGCATATGGTTGATGACAAGATTCATTCTAGAGGCAGAGGCCCTGTGCAAATCCTCACAAGGCAGCCTGCGGAAGGTCGGTCACGTGATGGTGGTCTTCGTTTTGGAGAGATGGAGCGAGATTGTATGATTGCTCACGGTGCTGCTCATTTTCTCAAGGAGCGGTTATTTGACCAAAGCGATGCATACAGAGTTCATGTTTGTGAGCGTTGTGGGCTGATAGCCATTGCCAACCTCAAGAAGAATTCTTTCGAATGCAGAGGTTGCAAGAACAAAACTGATATCGTCCAGGTAAACATTTTCTCTCTGCTCCTACTTTTGCGCACCCACAACACGGATACATGTACACTGGACTGGCTCAGGGATGCTCTGCTCTTTACAGTTTACACCTCACATGTCAAATAGTCGTTCTTTTCTGTTGTGGTATTAAAACTCACGGTCGCCTCTGTTGGTGCAGGTTCACATTCCCTATGCATGCAAATTGCTTTTCCAGGAGCTAATGGCTATGGCTATAGCTCCAAGAATGCTTACAAAGGATGTCAAGCTAGCCAAAGATCAAAAGAAGAAAGCAGCTTGATTAATTTAGTCCATTCCGAGAAAAAAGTTGCCTATTTTATAGATTGAAAGGTCTTATTTTACCAGTAGTCAGTTTTGCATCCACAATATGTGGATCTACTACTTATTGGTTTTAGAATGGTTGTAGTATCTAGTGAGAACAACATCCTTATGAACCCAGCAGGTACTGTGGTTTCAAGGATGGAGTAATTCTCACATGTAAAATATAAGTAATATTTATATCTGAAGTTTCTCTTCGAAAAACTCCTGCTTTTCATGTATAAGAGGCTCTTCGTTAGTCTTGCATCAAATTGAATGAGTTGAAGCTTTTCAGTTTTGACAATGAGAAATGAGTGCAACTGTTTTTGTTTTACTAATGTTCACAATTCTGTAACTAGAGTCCAGAGATGTTATGACTATTGCACATGATGTATGAACAGTGAACAAGATATGTTATATCATATGATAAAACCATGAATCAAGAATGAAAAATAGAAAATGGGAAACAGGCAAAGTTAAAATGGATTGGGATGTCGTATAATTACAAGTTTTGATTACAAAATGGAGCTTAATCCCATTCTCTTTATCTTTTTTAAATAATCTATTAACACAACAACTACGTCGTTGGTTTTATATTAGTTGACACACTTTTCCTTTGTATATTCATTAAGAGTTATAAATGAAAAATATTATTTACTACGAATTTATTCTTTATCTCTCCCCAAGAAATTATACTTTATTTATGAATAGTGCTAAACTAATTTCATTTAAAAAATATTTAATACTAAAACAAAAATAATATAAAAATAATTAATAATATCTTGATTTTATAAAATGTTAACTATTCGAAATAGATTAAGTCTGTCTTTCGGCTCAAAGTACCCTTTCCGTCTTACTATTGGACCAGACTTACCTTTTATTTAACAGAAGAGCATGTGGTATCCCATGTGTGTATTAATATGCCACATAGACCTCCACGTGTGCACGCTCACCCCCACCCACCTCCACATAGACGTTCTAAGAGCCCTAATTTCACCCTTTTCCCACATTTCATCCTTTTCTTAAAAAAGACCTAAAGAAGCTTCCTTTCACCAGAATTTGTGTGCAACAGAATCTGATAGATTTCTTTGTTACATTTCATTATTAGCAAAAAACAAAAAGAGTTGATGAGAATCGACCTGATTGGACTCGATCACCCATTGTAAACTCTACCAAAGCTTCCTTCTTAAGATAATCACCTCAAAAAGTTTTTGTTGCAGTTGCTAAATCACGAAATAGAAAAGTCTTGGCTGCAATTTGGTTGGACCCTGCCTCTTTATCAACTTTCTTTGTGCGTAATGAATTCTTTGCTTTCAACTTATCTGAAGACGAGCAAAAAATAGAAAAGTAAACAAAAGCATGGCACTAAATGAGGCAACTAGTGTTCAGAAATAAGAAGGATGATTGACGAGCAAGGAAAAATGACATCTAAACTTTTTTATTGGTGAAAGGAACCTTCCGTGGGTCTTTTTTAAGAAAATGATGAAATGTGGGAAAATGATGAAATTAGGGCTCATAAAACGTCTACGTGGAGGTGGGTCGGGTGGACGTGCACATGTGGAGGTCTATGTGGCATATTAATACACACATGAAAGGCCACATAACTCTTCCGTTAAAGAGAAGGGTAAGTCTGGTCCTATAGTAACACAAGAAGAGTATTTTAAGCTGAAAAATATATTTTGAATAGTTGAAGGGTAGTTTTGATCCTTGTTTATAAAATGACAAGTAAAGTATGTATTTAAGCACTCGAGTTTTCTACCAAAAAAAGTAGTACTCTGTAAAAACCTATATTCATCAGATGTAAATTAGTGCTAAATCCCTAAACCCAAATCGCTGCAAGAGCAAAAAAAAAAAAATGGAAGAAAAGTTGAGCAACATCGAAAATCAGCAAGTAGATGATGAAGAAGAAGATGAGGGTCCACCACCTGGTTTCGACTCTTTAGCTGTACCATCGCAAAACACCAATGTTGTCATAGATGAAGATGATGATGAAGGACCACCTCCAGGTTGGTCATCAATTCCTCAGCAACACAATCTCCAGGTGAGATTAATCATAAAACACTAAAATGGGTGTCAATTTAATTTTGTTTTTCTCTTGAGTCATCTGTATTGATTTATCTGTATTGTGTTGATGAAATTCAGTTTCAGTGCTGTCCCCCTTTTAGTTTATGTATGTAAAGAGGTACATTTATCTGTCAAAAGATGGGAAATTAGTGAAAGGTTGAGTCTTGATGCCATATGAGTACTTGTCAATCATGAAAAGAACATTAAGATTTTCCTTGAAGTTATGTTGTTAATTTTGTGGGAATTTGTCTTTGATTTATTTGAAGCTCTCTATATAGTTGAATTTGATCTTTATTGGCTTTCATGGATTACCTGTTTTGTGCTCGTGAAATTGATTGCTCTCAGGGTTGGAATTTCTTAGAACTTGAGGCTATATATAACTATCATTAAAACATTGAAAGGGAAAAAAAAAAGAGGAAATAGTTAATGAAGAAGTATTTTGCTTAGTGAATACAAAACTATTTGATTCTACATGTACACAAAGGTAACTTGTGAACAGACTACTGATGTAGAGATGGGGGGCAAAGAGCACAAATCGGAAGACGATGAAGATGGTCCGCCACCCGGGTGGAACACTGTAATCCCACAGAAAAAATTGCCATCTTTACCGCCAACAATAGAAGCAGTTACTTGTGGTAAGTCGTTAACTTTACCGTCAAATTACGTTCTTCCCTTCCCCCTCTCTTGCTGGCTCCCTCTCTTTTCCCCCTTGCACACAAACAACTTAGGTAAAGCATTGGAATTGCTTTTTAAATAGAATTGTCAGCTCCACTAGATTTATGCCTCTATTATTTTCTTGGTAAACAAATCTGTAAAAGATAGTGGTCGGCCTTTTTCCAATCTATGCTAGATTGGTTCTTGAAACCTAACTCTTCAAATTATGCGTAGATGTAATTTTGGAAGGCAATGAACATGAACCATGTGGAAACATAAAGACTGTTGGTGACGCCTTCTTTCAATTTTTTTATTTTTTTTTGCATCTTTTAAAGAGATAATCATTTTGAAATGCTTTACTTGAGCCAAGGGTCTATCGGAAGCAACCTCTCCACCTGCACAAGGTTGGGATAAGGTCTGTGTGACATCACCCTCCCTAGATCCCACTTCTGGGATTACACTGCGTATGTTGTTGTTGTTGTTGTTTTATAGAGATAATCATGTGGGACCACTATTTGGTTCTTGTAACTTCGTTCGTACTGACCACCATTTTATGTAGCTTCTTTTGCACTTATGTGCTTGTTGGTTGTCACATTTGCTATGATGTTACTTAACTATATACTGATAGTGTTTTTCCTTGCTTATTTGTTTTCAAAAGAAAATTAGTATAAGCTTACAGCTTATTATAATAAACATTACCAGTTTTAAAAAAAAATAGTATAAGCTTACTATAATATGCTCTTTTTGGTTCTTATGTAATGTCAAGGCTTGCAATTCACTAGCTTATTCTTGCCAAACAATTAATTTGGCCAATTGGAAGTATTACTATGCAGGGCTTATGGTCCCACATTAGTATCTTATGTATTAAGGATGCTCTTATATGAATGAGCTTAGATGATTTTTTCATCTAGTTGTTTAGCAAGATAATGAGGAACTTCGGGATGGATGAGTCTTCTTTATTTGTTTGGTTCATAAGATTTAACATTCTGCCTTTCAGATATAGATATGGAGAAGAAAGAAGAAATCATTAAAAATGAAGATAATGGTCCACCGCCAAGATGGCAGTTGACCCCTAAACTACTGCCGCTACAAACATCTACACCACCATCAGGGACACAAGGAGCTTCTCTTGAAGGTGAGTCCTTTCCTTTTCACTCAGATGAGTATCCATGTTCACAAGTGCAATTTTTTTTTGCTTTGGTATATGCTAAAATACACTAATCTCTTTTACTTGCCATATGTACATGCATGCTTGTGTGTTTCATTTTTTCTGAATTAGTCCACAATACCAATCGGGCTTTGTTTATGTGACAGACCTTCAGTGTAAGTTCATATTTATTGATCAGTATGGTATGAGAAATGACATGCCCCAGTGTCTTTGTGTTGATTGAAACTGCAGGTGGATGTGATTGAAGGTGGGCCAAACTGAGAAGAAATTAATTCCATAGAACATGTCGAAAAGACAAGTGATGAATTATTATATTTAAGATAAGAGAATAATCAAGAGATAATAGAAGTTAATTCTTGCCAAACGATTAATATAATCAATTGAAAGTAATTCTATGCAAGGCTTGTGATAGCATTAGTATCTTCTGTGTTATGGATGCCCTCATGTGTGCTTAGATGTTGGCTTCATCTAGTTGTCAGTTGTCCAGTAAGATTATGAGGAGTTTGGGGATGCGTGAGTTCTTTATATTTGGTTCATCAGAATTAGCCTTCTGACTTTCAGATATAGAAATGGAGAAGAAAGAGGAAGCCGTTGAAGATGAAGATAATGGTCCACCGCCAGGATGGCAATTGACCCCTCAACTACTGCCTCTACAGACATCTACATCACCATCAGGGATACAAGGAGTGCCTCTTGCTGGTGAGTCCTCCTTTTTTTACTCAGATTCGAAATGTCCATGCTTACAAGTTCAATTGGTATGTGCTAAAATACACTAGTCTCAATTACTTGCCATATGGACACAAGCTTGTGTTTTTCTGATATAGTTACCAATCGGGCCTCGTTTATGTAACAGACTTTCAGTGTAAGTTCATGCTTGTTGATCAGTATGGTAAGAGAGGTGGGTATGACCCTGTGTCTTTGTGTTGATTGAAACTGCAGGTGGGATGTGATTTAAGTAAGGAGGCCAAACTGAGAAGAAATTAATTCCATTGAGCATGTAGAAATGACTAGTGATGAAGTATATTCAAAATATGAAAATAATCAGTGGACAATACAAACAACAGTGTGGCTCAATCCCAACTAGTAGGGTCATCTATACGAGTCCTCCATATCCATTCTGCTCTATATGGGCTCGGTTTCATTCCAATACTCAATTATTGTCTATTAAGACAAATTAGGGGTTAATATGTGGAAAAAGTTCTAGCTGTTGGAGGATTTGGTATTTAAGGTATTCCTGGTATGGCCAAAATTTATAAGCATAAAGCATGAGAGGTTCTCATTAATTAAACAAAGTTTTTAAGAAAAATATTTAGGGGTTCATAGCTTAAAGGCTTGTGGCTCTTTAAAAGTCCGGATTAGCGGTATCAAAATTTGACATTTGGTTCCTTTGGAGCTAACCTTCGACTATTTCTGCCTTCTAACCTTAACCTATGAGTTAGCAATTTGACTCAATTGCCTTAGTCCGGATGTTTCAGACATATATACAAGTTTGACATATAGGTTTTTTGTTCCGATGTTATGCATGTAGATAGCAAAGTGGCTAGCAGCTGCTGATATGTCAAATCCATATAAGAAATTATATCTGGGTTTGGTGCTAATTTTGCAGTGGACAAATTCTATTTATTCAGTATCCTTACAGTTTTGTAACTAGCTAACATTAGCTTTTGTAGACGTTGAAATGGCGAGCAACCAGGACTGTGATGTTGAAAAGGAAGGACATCCACTGGGATTAGAATCCGTTCCTATGAATGGACATTCATCACCACCTACACCACCACCTCAGTCGTCATCATCAGTTGCTTCTTCTGGTAAACTTTACTACAATGCCTTAAAATAACATACAAGTATATATAATGGGTAGTAGAGCAGTGAACCTCTGTTTCATGCCAAGGAGTTCAAGATAAGATTGACTTAATTGTATTGTGTCGTTTGGGTTTCTTGATCTACTAGTGCATTTAGTACGTATACCTTTTTGGTGGACATTTTGGGGGATACTGATGAAACTGTTCACCAATCAGAAATGGAGATGGGTCGCAAACAAGAAGGCACAAAGAATGAGGAGGAAAGGCCCCAAATTGAAAAGCAACCAATGTCGCATTTACTACAGATGAAACCTATAGTGCCTCAAGCCTCATCACATGCTGCAACAGTTTCTTCCGGTCAGTTCTTTTCACAGAGCATAACAGACTTTTAGTTCATCTCATCCAATTTTAGTCAGTTTATTTAGGAGATGCTTTGAACAAAATACGTTATGTAATTAAGTTATGATGCAGAAATGGGTCAGATGGTATGTGGTGGTTGCCGACAGTTACTTTCTTATCCACAAGGGGCTAAATTGGTGAAGTGTTCATGCTGCCAAACCGTCAATCTTGTGCTAGAAGGTTTCTGCTTCCTCTTTTATACTAAAATGGATTCTTACAGTCCTAGACATTTTCCCCTTCTTGTCACAAAATCAGATATATTCTAGTGAAGAAATTTCAATTTATCATTGGTAGGTTGCCCCCTAAATAAGTTTTGTTGAATCATGACACGTGCCAAATTTGCTGAAAAGATAACATATACAATAACTTCTAATTGACAATATGAACAGTTAGTTTTCTCCATGCTTTTTATTCAGGGATCCGCTTTTGGTAAATCGGAGCCCTGCCAGTTATCAATATGTTTAAGTACCTTAGTAACAACTGATGTAAAATAACCGTGTGGTGCACCTTCATTCTGATTTTTCCTTCTGATACTGTAAGTTTTGTATCTATTGTGAACTGGCATACCAGACCTCTCATAATTGGATAGAGAGGAAATAAGATACAGACATTTTCTTCACTTTGTTGTTTTCATGGATCCGTACAACTATCCTGAAGAATTTGATTGTTGAAAACCGTTGACTCATTTCTATGGGGGGCTTACTCACGTGGTTCTGATTGTTCTCACTGCAGCTCATGAGGTTGGACAAGTTAAGTGTGGGGGTTGTGCAGTGCTGCTCATGTATCCGTATGGGGCCCCATCAGTTAGATGTTCCTCTTGTCGCCACATGACAAAAATTGGGGTATGGACTTCATTTCTTCAGAAATACTTGTGCAGTCATGTCAATTAATCATATGATATTTTTTTTTGGGTATCTCTGCATTTCCCTTTTGAAAAACTTAGCCTGGAGCTGAAATGTCATTAAGTCCTATTATACTTGTTAGGATGCACCACATGTTAAGGTGGGATATATGCGAGATGTCCTATGTATTATGGCCCTTTAACATGTTGTGGACAGCACTTGTAGTATAAATTTTAAGCTAGAAATTTCATAACACACGCATGATTTATATGTATATTTGTCTGTGATTTTGGAAATTTAATCGCATCCTAAATTGCCCTCCTTTTTGTCGATCTTGACTTTTGAGACATCTATGCATCTGAACTTTTCTCCTGCACATCCAGGCCCACAACCGACGACCACCTCAGTCAGTGCAACAGCCTCGAAGAAGACATCCTTCCTACCAAGTTCATTAGCTTGCTTATCTCGATCTGATTTTGGGGAATCCATCATGTAGATGCATTGTTTATATGAAACTTCTGGGCTAGTTAGATGACATCAGGGTACTGCTTGCTTCATGGCTTTGGCATTTCCCTTGGCTTTGTAAAATCTTTACCGTATTAGAAATCTGTAACAATCCTTTTCTATTTAAAAATTCAATATGGAATAGAGTCAAATTTCTGAATGTTGGTGACACTAGTTTTGGAAGTTTAGTTTCGCCTCATCGAGCTCGGAACCTGGTTGACCAGTGTGCAATTTGTAGGAGTGAAGACCGAGGACTTTATTGCACTCCATAAATTTGCAATGATATCTCTATGTCTTGAAGTTAATTGCACAATGATTTTTCTATTTATTTTGAAGTTAATATCAGGTAGTTTCTACACAAGTAATATTCTCTCACAAGTTGGATTACTGTTTAACCACTACTTGCAGCTATGCGCAACACAGAAACATTTGAAAAAAACGACAATCATTGCCTATTGCAATATTTTGTTGGGAAGAAAGAAAAACAGAAGTTGAGCAGCGGAAGAATTAGAACATCTATATTATTTACTACATCTCGAATCAGTATTTAGAGTCAACACTAGACTGCCCTACTACGTTTAAACAACAATAGAAGATGTAGCAGTAATATTAAAAATGCAGCAAATGATAGTTACCAATGCAACTACTAAGAGAAGCTATTGATCAGTATACGCTTGACCTTTGGAAGAAGACTTCTTAATATAAACTACTATAAGACATTCAAATTAATTGCTAGTGGCAGTATCCACAGACCATATGTGGGACTTACAATCATCAGGAGATAGAAACTGTCATTTTCAGCTGCAGATACATCTTCGCGACGTTCAATCATCAGGTGGGAAGTCCTCATCTGAGGCATTATCCAGAAATGAACCTAGAGTTTTTCTCAGAAAGCTGAATGCTTTATCATCCTGTCAAGCAAAAAAGGACGGTTTACTTGGCGGTATGAGAATGTATGCAGTGTGTGACAGAGATATGGTGCATCGAAGAAGTTAACCTGCTTCTTTTTCTTCAGCGACTCCTCTAGTTCAGAAATTCGTTTTTTAGAGTCTTGCTCAAGTTCAGATATCATGCTCTTCTCTTTCTTCCCTGAATTAATGTCATAAAAATCTGTCACAGGCATCCTTATCATTTAATAAAAATATAATACAGATAGTTCCTGTAACTCACTTAGTTGCTCATATCGCATGAATAGTCTTTCCTTTTCCTCCTCATATTTGGATATAGTATCTGTGAAGATACCATCACGATGGTTAGCTTTAAAATGTTTTCTTCAAGCAGGGTTTGTAAGAAGGACTCTTCAAAACATATCGCAAGTATAACGCTTAAGTCTAGTTGAAATTCTGTAACAGTGTTCACTTTAGCCCGGTAAAAGATTGCAAAATTTTGTAAAATGATAACATGAAATGAATAAGAGGTGGTTAATCTAGAAACACAATGTTCCAAATGTTGTACGGACTACAAACAGGTCCAACTCGTGTGGAAAATTGGCATTAGAAAAAGTACCTCTGAGAGACTGCAGATGTGTAGCTTTCTCCTTGTTGAACTTCTCATAAATCGATTGGAACTTTGCAGTTTCATTCTTTAGCAAGTTCTCACACTGCATAGAAGCAATATATTGAAGAGTAGTAAGCTTCTTTTAAACGCCCTATCATGGCTAACTTATCTAATTGAGGCTGACCTCTTTGGAGCTCTTGGACAGTGCCTTCGCAAAACCTTGCCTAATGATCAAACATACTGAAGATCAACAAGAAGCTACCGCTTGCAACAGTTAAATTTACATTAAGCATATATTATGCAACACATATTTCTCACCTGTCTTTCTCAAGTTTTACTTTGAGCTCATCGATCTTTGACTTGACTTCTGAAGTCACGCTAACCACAGACCACAAAAAGCAATAATGTTAATAACCATTTCTTTGATTGTAGCTACACACTCCATAAATTAAGTGGTGGACTTGCTATCACAGGAACAAAAGAGGACGAACACATCAGGCTTACATTCTGATGCACTTAGTCCAAATTACTATCAATTTCACTCGAGAACAATCAGTATTTCTTACTCATTAAGAGGTTACACAATACACCAGATCAGTCAAACGGCTTATTGCCAGAACTGAAAGATTAGCTGCTTGAGTGCCTTAACAAGTCGCAACTAGAATCACTTTTAGAAGTTTAAGCAATGTAGAACAATTCTACAAACTAGTTAATGCACAAAACTCATTTAAACAACGTACAAATCATTAGTATAATAAGGAATCTCCAAAAAAAAAAACAAATTAAGATAATGTGGAATCTCCAGAAAATCAACTCCCATATACATTTCCTAAAACCAAAAGTTCTGCCAGAAGTACTGTGCACACAGGCAACAAGAAGCTTGGAATGCATCAATTTTGATCAAAAGCGAGATCCTGATGGTACAATTTTCATGGCTAATTACAAATCCTATACCAGGTCATTTAGATCTATATGCTAGTCCAAGTGTCGCAAAATGAAGAAACTGCAAACCAGAGAATATGGAACAACGTTTGCAGAAAAAATTAGCCAATTCTGTGCGAAGAAGCAAATATCTAGTTCCTCCTAGCTGAGGAAATTCATCAAACTTGAATGAAAAAGCAATCAGTACAGGAATTACATCGCAAAAACACGTTATATTGCCTTAGCAAATACTTCAGCACAAACAAGTTAATGAAGAAACCAGAGCTTGGTTCTAGGTCTGAGACTCAGCTCTCCAATGATTTAACTAAACGTAAACAAATTTATACAGCTTCGATATATCTGTACACGAGAAATCAATTATCAAGGAAAACAGGAATCAGACATGCACCTAGAGATGGTTTCTTCTTTCTTCTTCAGACCGTCTTGTTGTGCCTTCTCTCTTATCTGCTTTAACGCCGTCATAATCCCTTTGATATCACTGTCAATTTCATTCGACCTCATCAAATACCAGAACTATTTTTTGAGAAATTAACAAAAAAAAATGTAAATGAAAGCGTACTCTGAGATCTCAGCATCGAATTCATCTTCGACGGCGCTAACTCGCCTTTTGCTCTCCGATTTTGGTATTTGCGGCTCCGAAACTCTTTTCCTTGCGCTTGATTTTGACGCTGACATTTTCTCTAGAAAGTTGAACTGTGAGAATTAGCGTTTGTATGTGTGTGTGAGAGAGTGGAGGGAACTTTTGAGAATTCAAAATGGATTCTACCAGATACGACTATTTATATTTCTGTTGGCGCGAAACTGATGGATGGTTGATGAACGAGTTCAGTATAACTCAGCGAGTTATTCTTTTTGCTAAACGAGTTTAGTATAACTCACCGAGTATTCTTTTTGTTACTTTAGTTCTTCACTTTTACTTGTCACATTTTTTTTGCTTGTCAATTTGACCAACTCTCGAAGCTAAATTGAATTAATTCAATTCAATATTTCAAATTTCAACTGAAATATGGTTAATTTCATGTAGATCCGACTTACCAGAAATATATGACAAATACAAGTAATGAAAAGAGTAAAACAAATATTCATCGCACTTTTCTTTTACGTACTTTTTTGAAAACATAAATGTTACGCTTGCCATTTCATTTGGTTCATGCATCAAAATTAAGATGCTTATTTGACATGTATTGTATTCATTAATGTGATTGTAAAACACGTTAAAGAAGAAATTGTTTGAATTGCACATCTAATCGAAATTTAAACTTGAGATGTCTAATCTAAATGCATTTGAATTCCCCAAGTGTCCACTGTCAAAAAGAGCTTATGCATGTTGCACTGGCCGAGTTTAAATCTTAGATCCACCTTTGCCCAAGAAAGTTGCGGTGTTTTGCAATGGGTCAAAGAAACCACTGAACTATAAAATTTTAACGTGCTCTTCTGGTTACGAGATATTCCATCTTTTTTTCAATTTCGAATGGAAATACCTTATACAAAAGAAGCATTTTGGGAAAGCTTTACCAGAATCTTAACAGGTAAAAGCCGTACAAGATCTTCCATCTTTTGCATTGCAAACAGATCAAAATCAATCTAATCGGGTGACTTCACAGAGTTACCTTACTACTCATTCCATCAGTTTGTGCAGATCTTTAGAACTGTCAAACTACACACAGGTGGCGTTCAATGCACCAAAAGAGCACTTAAGAAACTGATTTCAGCATTGAGGATCTATTGTGCTAGAGAAAACGCAGCTACAAGGTGACTCGGACATCTATTGTGCTAGAGAAAAATGAGAACAAGCAGGCTATTTACTCCAGTGTTGGTAAATTGTATACTGGTCCTATGGTGCCACTCAATTTGTCATTCTGAACTAAGATCACACTTCCCCCTCACTGATGTGAAGCCAATTTCTCTTCATCGACCTCGAAAGCCTTCCGAGCTTGTTTCAGCTCCTCATTCATGGACAGCAGTTCTGTACACCGGTTAAGTTTCGGCAAGTCCTGCACAATAGAACAGTATCCATCCAAAACTCAGAAACTCATAAAGCAAAATTGCAGTAACATCATATCCAGTTTGTAGAGGCTACGCAAAGCATAGCAGGACTGATTTTTCAGAACAACCATCCATACTCTTTTTGACAACTAGAGATGTGTTGAAATATATTCAAATCACAGAGAGAGAAACCAGTAAGCAACACAATAGAATGAGGCACGTGGCACTAAACAGATGGAAGGCCAAGGCAACGCCACAATCTCCCAGTCTAATTCTCCCCAACCAAAAGATGGGAGTAATTTGTTGTTTTAATGATCAACATAGTAAGAAGCTAACTATTCTCGGCATTTCTCGTTGGCATGGAGACATCAAACTAGTCCCAAAAGAGTTTCAGGTTTATCAGGCACAAACAAACATGAAATTACCATTGGAACAATTTTCAGATACAATTCTATAATGGTGATACATGTGCTAAACTATGATCTATCATAATGAAATCAATTATTCAGTGTGATAGCAGTACTAACACGCATGAGGTAAGCCAAAATAATTGCAACAAATAAAACCTTAAAGTAGTAATTAAGCTTGAGATGAGCAGAACTACAAATCTCAGCTTCTGTCCATCCAACTACACTTGGCTATCCGGACACTTGTATATGAGTTTATTCCACTAATAGGCAGGCCTAATAGTTTCCTTAATGTTCTGAATTGAAATAATATACAAAACTCACAAGACCTCTCATTGAGCAAAAATGGGATGGACATTTTTCAACTAAATATTCACCATAATGCTACAGACGCAGATATGCATACATATTATATATATGCATGTTGAATTCACAAAAAGACTGACCTTTCTAATTAAGAACAGAAAGTCCTCGGTCAAAAGCTTCCCCCTTTTGGTTGCAATATCCTGAGCTTTGTGCACCTACCCAAGTTGAAGAGCTTAAAAGATAGGACCATATGCATGTTTCTTCTAAATTAAATACTGATAGAAAATAAATTGCGCAAAATGCAAAGCTTTATGCAGGAAGATGTATATTCTGAAACCTCTTCGAAAGAATAATACTGGATAGTAGTAAGTTCAACTCACCATATCAGTGACATAATCCACCACGATGTCTTCCACGAGTGACACTGTTTCTGGAAGTGGCTGATAGTGCAGCACTATTAGTTTAGTAAAGATCAAGGGACAAAATAATACCAGTAACTCATAGAAAATCAAAATCAGTGCAACTTCCAGACAATTCTTTTGATATTTACAAGGTAAGCAACCATCATCTTTTTGATAACCTATAAGGTAAACAACCATCAACCATCCCCAAGTCCAGTATTAATTGACTAAATTAGAAACAATAAACATACAGCCGCAAAAGGGAACATATCAATAAGAAAATCTTCCAGCAAAATTATCTCTGTTTTATGATGGAGTCACTAATGCATTATGACCGCGCTATTCTCTCGTATAACAGGGAAAGCAAGATGTGGTAAAACAAGAAAAAGGACTGTACTCCAGCAAAGAAGGTTATTCCTTTTAAAAGACAACTAGACAACATCATTACAAAACTCCAACTCTGAATTTCTGTTCTTTCCTTAGAATCAGCACAGGTCCTCGGTCCTCCCAAAAGTCCCTTCAGACATTATTGCTAGAGCCTAGACACAAGCTTAGTACTATCATCAAAGAAGATTAAAGTATTTCCCATAGCCAGTGAGTGAGTTTTATAATGTTGTTAAACATTAAGCAACAAGCAAAGCCCATATTCAATCTGGTCCATACAAACTGCAACTTTTCCCACTATCAATGTGTGTACAGAGAAAAAAAAAACTAGGTGACAGCAGCATGACATAATTCACTGTATTGCCATATGCATAACAATCAACGAGTATAAACACCATGGACATACACAGATGAAAAACAATGAAGAGATAAAAAGTGAAACAAAGAGGCATCTTACATTGCTATCATCTCCAAAACCATACATCATGTGTTGCACTGTGTAATAAATAAAAGAAATATTAATAAATAAAACAAGATGAAGTGATTTAACATTATTATCACATCTATGTAAAGAGTCACTGACAATCTTTCTGAAACATGCCACGTTTCCTCTTAAGTGAACTTTCTGAAGGTTGTGATGCTCCTACCCTAGCTTTTGAGGATGGCCCTGCAGAAGAGTTGTTCATTTTCTATTTATTCTAATGTCCACCTCTCAACCTGCCAACGTGTCATTACCATCCTTAGCAAATACCATCAATCAAACATATCATATATTATTATCAGCTAGATACATCATTCAAGCACCATTGAAAAGAAAATAGAAAACTGAATGCATAAAAAATGCACTTCCATAGTTCTTATAATAGTTATCACCACTTAACCGCCTACACAATTAGCTCAAAATTTTCCGATTCTATAAAAAAGGGAGCTCATTATATAGCTGGAACATACTTTCTTCTTTGCCGCTCCCAAAATAAGCCCCCAATATATACACAACCCATATGATCCACTGGAAAAAAAAAGTTATTTTACTGTAAATGATCATCAAATAAAAGAATTCATTAAAGATTAAAAGTTATATCTATTTTTTTTCTATATGTACATTGTGTGGAAGCCATTACTGAAGCTTTGTTACCTTCCCTCTTTTAAATAAGTTATCAAGGAATACAAAATCCAAAGTGGGACAGACGCGAATTGGGTTTATCGATCAACAACAAAAAAAATAATTAAAAACACAGTTATCAAATGATCAACACCCAGGAGTATGAATGAATTGAAGAAAAAGAAGCAAATGCAAGAACACAGAAAACATAAATTAATTAATTTCTGCAGTCACAATCGCAATTAGGATCGTAAAAGAGAAAGAATTCTGAAGAGAAACCTGCAAAAGTGTTGATTCCACTGGAGATGACGAGAGCACAATTGAAAACAGAATTTCAAATTGAAATCCCCAAAATTATTAGGGTATTAGGGCATTTGCTCAAATTTATGTGGAAATTGGGAAATTTCTTTTTGTTGTTCAAACGGGTATGTCGGTGAAAAAAAGAAGAATTTGGGCTTAATGGATCATAGTGGCCATCAAACAAGCCCAAAATAGTTTTTTCAAAGGCCCAAAACGAAAAAAACTGTTACTTCAGCGATAGTTTTGCATATTTGGTCAAATTTAAAAAAAAAAAATTAAAAAAAATCGCTAAATAATTTTTTTGTTGTCTGTCAGATATAAGTTGTGGGCATATATTAATTTTGCCAATAAGACAGAAGTTTTGTATATATTACTATATTTCAATAAGTCAGACGCAATGAACTTGTTCAATTGATAATAAGTTATATCTTGTAGGCAAAAAATGCATGTTTTGATCAATTGGTCACAGAGTGTAACAATCGAGTAAGATTTGATAACATTCATTCTAATTTCTACATATCGTATTAAATTGTCACAAGTTATAATGTATAGATGGAAGGTGCTGGTATAATTTAATTATTCACAACTTTTTCCTGTCTTATATAGAATCATTCCTATAATCCATAAAATTAATATTACACTCTTTTAATTGAAAAGGTGTATGGCTAAATTAATGTAAAAAAAAGACTTTGATCATGATTAAGTACAGTAAGTTTAATTAAATAAATGGACTTCTAGAAGATAAAGTAATATTGGAAAAATTATTCTAGAATACCTCAACATACTTAGCCCATTCTGCACCTTTTTGCACTTTGCTCTTCTTAGGTTAATCATTCTTAGTTAACTTTTTGAAAATTAGGTAAAATAGATTATAACAATATGTACAAATTAAAATGAACCATGTGTCCTTAGCACTCATTCTTGAGTGTGATTTGTGTCTTTTCATTCATGAAAATTATATATTTTTTAAACGGAATGGTGTTTGTATCTCAACATTTTCATAAACTACTATAATTTTTTCTAGTAGTAGGACCAACTTTTCCACTCAGCCCCTTTCATTTTCCAGCTTTGTATATGTCATATTTAATATATTTATGGTATTGGAAATTAATTCCATGACATGCCTTCTAGATGGAATTGAAATACAAACTAGAAGCAACCAAAAAAAATAATTATTTTTCCCGTTTCAATTTGTTTGTCTTACTTTCTTTTTTAAATATGTTTTAGTAAGAATGTCACTTTCCTTTTTAGATAATTTTTTAATTTTAATTTTTCACCTGCCATATCTAAAATCACAAAGATTAAAAAGTATTTTGATATACAATTTATATATTTTCAGTATAAAATCATAAAATTCAAATAAAAATATTTACTTTCATAAGTTTTATGTCAAGTGAAAATCAATCAAACAAAATTAAAATATAAGAAGTAATTAACAAAGAGCCATTAAGATGATTTTTTATTTTTTGACAACAATTTTTGTTCCCTTCTGAGAGATGTCATTTTGTTTGTGTTTGTTACAAAAAGTTTGATTAATTTAAAGATTGCTAGTCGGCAAATTGTTTGTAGCTACTTCAAGAATTGTAAAACCTGTGTTCTAGAAAACAAAGAACAAGAAAAATTACTGAAAGGACAATTTAGAAACAATAAATTAATTAGCTCACACCATTTTAAAAGTATCGATATTATTATTGATCCTTCTTTTCTCCCACGGAATATTACTTATTCTCTAGTATTTTCAATGGTAAATCCTAAATACTATTTTAGAAGATTTGTTTTTTTTTATTTATTGTTAAACGAAACATATTTGCAGCACTCACAATTTTTATCATCATTAGTCACTAATCCTCATCATGAAATAGACACATTTTCTTTGTCCACGGCCTAAATATACTCGAAAGATATAGAATATTTTTCTCTTTTAATTTGTCCATAGTTATTTCTAGATTACTTAATATTTCAATAATCAACAATGTATGTGTCAATCTCATACCGGTAGGAACTAATTATACACGGATACATAACATAAATGCTTGAAAAGGCAGTAGTTAATGCGCTAAATACCTTACAACACATCCAAAAGGGAGCTAAACAGACTGTTTTTGCTTTTCACTCGATGTTCGATACGCCTGTTTTCGAAAATGGTATTCGTAATAGAAATTTTTTGTTCAAACTTGAAACCTAGTTTAAAACGGAGTGATCTCAATCATCCCAATCGACTTGATGTGACAAGTACTCGAATTTGGTGGTGTTATGAAAAGAAAAATAAATAGTAGTAATTAGGTAGAAAATTGAAGATTCAATTAAGAATCAAATACTCAGAGAGAGACCAGTCATAACAAGCCACGTAGCATTGGTCACTAAGGAGAAAGTCCACTGTTCCAAATTTCTTCTTATAAAAACTGCTTCACCATTTCCTCTCTCTCAGCTCAGCAAACTTCTTGTTTACCTCTTTAAAGAAACCTATTTTCTTCTCTTTTTCCTCTGTTTAATCACATGGGATTCTCCATTTGAAGCTTGAAAGTCTGAAACTTTGATTGTTTTTTCAACCCTTTTGCTTGATTGGTAAGAATTTGAGCTCTTCCTCTTCTTTCTTGAATATTAAAACTGATTTTACCTTGTTCTGTGGTGATTAGTGGTGTATAAAGGTTGGATCTTTGATGGGGTTTTCTCTATTGATCTGTATGGTACTATTGTTAATCAATTCTTGTGTTTGATCATATTGTACTACTATAAATGATCTTTATTGGTATTATTAAAGTCTTCACCTTCTACCCACCATAAACAAATGATTTCTTGGATTTTCTTGACCTTATGGTTGTGAATTAGAAGAGGGTTTCTTTAGTTATACCTGAAAATGTCATGAATGCTAAATGAACCTTTGCTGTTGATCATGTTTGGTAGTTTTTTCAACCATTTGAATTGGGGGTAGATGGGGAAAATGGAAAGGAGTTTAAGGGGGTATATGTTTGGTTTGGATTAAGATTTTGACTAAAAGATAGATTCAAGATTGAGACATTTTTGTCAAACTGATGCAATTAGTTTGCCCAGCTAATTCTGAGAATTTACTTCTAAGTGGACCTGATTTGATGCAGTGGAAATAATAGGCTATTTGATCTTTTTCTGAGATTACCGTTGACGTAGTAGCATTTGTAAGTCTTTTGCTGATAATTTTTCTGATCTAACTGATCTCCATCTCCCTTTGTTGCTATGGATTGCTTTGAAGCTTCACTAATCTTTTAAAATTTGTGGTTTTTATTCACATGCTTTGTCTTTTTGTTCTCTTCTGTTGCGTGGTGGGTGGAAGCTACTATCTAGCTTCCTTCCCACCATTTTTCTTCTTAATGCAGTAGCCTGCCTACTAATGCTCTACAATTCTTTAATACTTTGATTTAAATTTACTTCTCTTGTTGCTAACTATTGATTGTGCATTCAGATTTGGAAAGACCCTTGGATTGAACAAGTGCTCAGAAACAAATCTCATGGCCTTCGAGCAGTATTATTCAAACGAGTGGAAATCGATCCCTACTCCAGAATCATCAGACTCAGAGAAGACGTCTGCCTGCTTCGATTGCAACATCTGCTTGGACTTTGCCCGTGATCCGGTTGTTACACTTTGTGGCCATCTCTATTGTTGGCCCTGCATTTACAAGTGGTTTCACTTCCAGAGTGACTCTCTGTCTTCGGATGAACGCCCTCGGTGTCCAGTTTGCAAGGCTGAAATCTCCCAAACAGATTTAGTCCCTCTTTACGGGCGTGGGGTAACACTGCCTGAATCTGAGCCTGAAAACAAGCTCACTCTAAAAGTGCCTCCCAGGCCATCTGCTTTCGGTCCATTATCCTTGTCAAATTCCTTTAATCCTTCTCAGCAACCACCACATCCTAATGCCTATGATCCCTATGCCAGTTACCTCAACAGTTCATCGCCGCCTTCATTCAATCATGGAAACAATACATCAGTGGGAGTCTTTCATCCAGTTGTTGGAATGTTAGGAGAGATGGTTTACGCTAGGGTATTCAGAAACTCAGAGAGTTTATACACATATCCTAACTCCTACCATCTAGTGGCAAATAGTAGTCCAAGATTGAGAAGGAGGGAAATGCAGGCTGACAAGTCTCTAAACAGAATTTCCCTTTTCCTCTTCTGCTGTTTTCTTCTTTGCCTATTGTTATTCTAGTTTCATTTGAGGCACTCTTTTGTCCTCTTCCATTTCATCTTGTACACATTGTATAAAATTGATGTTTTGATGAGCATCAAATCATTTAAAATCATATATGTGAGATGATAATAAGCAAGATTTTGGCTCAAGCATAATGAGTTCAAACTGACATTTTTGAGTTATTATTGTCTCTCTCTGGCCCCAACATATCTTGAAGTTTATGGAAGAGCTAGCTAAGTTTATAGAGTTTTTCTACTGGCACCACCAGTGGATGAGCTGGGGAACCTTATCCGGTGCAAATCCGAATTACTGAAAACCGGATGAAAATCAACTCATGGCAAACTTCTTAATGTTATTAATGTGGATAAGTTAAATCACTGTTTTATATGGCAGGCAATAGTGATTGTATGGTCCTCTGGCCCCAACATATCGTGGCTAAGTACTTATCATGTTGCTTGTCCACATCTATTTTTTACATATATAAGTGACAATAACTATTAACCAGGCAGGTCATGGTCGACATGCCTGCCCGGCAGCTGCACTATTTTTCCTTTTTTGGTGGTTCTTTCGTTTTAATTTGTTTTTTAATACGATAAATCATGATAATTGTCAACTTAAAATATTTCTAAAAAACATATAAAAAAATCGATTAATTCATAAAATTAATCTATCTGTGTCACATAAAATGGGATAAAAGAAGTAACATGTATATTTAATTTGGAAACTACGTAGAAAATATTGTAAATCACAATAATTAACAACATTTGATTGACTCTTGAAATTCTATATGTGCTACATACATTGGGACAAGAGAAGTAATATATATTATTTAAAAATTACGTACAAATACTATAAATTACAATAATTAACAACTTAAAATATTTAAAAATCATATTAAAATTTAATTGACTATCTAAATTTTATTTATGTCACATAAAGTGAGACAAAAAATAACAGATATTGGATCCGTGCTAGCACGAGCCCTTTTTATTTATAAATAATGATATCTCTTTGAATTAATTATTAGGAAATTTGTCCCCACTAAAATGATAGAATACTATAGCCATAATTGTCTTCACTCTAAGGAAAATATGATAATGTATTACCACTAACTAAAATAAAGGTGCAGGCCAAAGTATTTATTTATAATACGTCACCATACGTATGCTTCATATTATACTTATCATAATAAATATTATTAATGGGGAAATGACAATTTTAAGAATGGCAGGCTGGTATATAACTATGTTATCAACTTTAACCAATGTTCCATAGACATTACAGACTCTTTTCAAGATATAATAACTATTCACTAAACTAGTATTTATATAACAAGGTTAAAAAGTTATTTTAAAAAATATGAACCTCTTTCTTTAAGATTTTTAATTATTTATTTTGTTTATGATAATTTAAGTAAGATTTATATAAGGTAAAAGTATTGAATTTAAAATCTTAAATGTTAGGTAACGATAACATAAAGGATCACAATATTGGCAATCAATGCCAAATATTTAGTAAGAAAAATGTGTTTTAAGTTATTAGATATCAAAAGAATAAAACGTAGGCTATTTTATGCCAAAATTTTAGTCCATTTATATTGGCATCACAAAATTCCTATAGAAAAGCGTATTTAAGCTATTAAATATAAAAAAAAAAATTATGCCAAATTTTACATCACGTTATAATGGCAAAATTCCTCATTTTTCCTAACTTGATTTTATTTTTTGTTTTCAATCTTTTGTGATGTATTTTGTTTCGAATATATTTTTATCTTATCATATATTCTAGAACTCCTTAATTTGAAATATTATAAATATAATCAAATAATAATTCTGTCTATTATAAAATTGACCTTCATGCCTTTAAAGTAGCACAAATTGTACTGTAGTAATTAAGTTTGTATTAATTTGGATAAATGTAAGGATACGTTGCTCTTAGAGTTGAGGTCTAGTAAAATCAAAATATGTTGGATTAGCAAATTTCACATTTATGGCTTTAGACTTTAGTATAGGAAATGATTGGTGGAATAGTTATAAAGCTGTATACACATTAAACAGAAAATAGCAAAAAGTCCACAATAATTGGGGTCCTAATATTTTATAATACAAAGTAAATTAGACCCTAGGGCGGTGACCTTCTAGAAAAAAAAAATCATAGCATTGATCAAATATCTTTTTAACATTCTTAATTAGAATTGTCACATCCAACATAATTGATAATTTAAGTTCACGTCCCACCCATTATAAGATATTTTAATCAACTTTGCACTTAATAATGTGATTAATAATCTTACACCTAAGTTTTCAAAGCACTCAAATGGTTAGTTGCATGTCATAGTTTTGCCAACCACAAAAAATATCCTAACTTCTTGTTGGAATGAATTTTCCATCTTTGATTCAAAATATAATCTTTCTTCTGTATCTTAAAAGCCACGTGAAGAATAACTTTGCTTTTGGCTCATCTAGTTTTCATTAACAAGAAGCAATTGTTGTTATTTTTCAAGATATGTTTCTTCAGAGAACAAGATTATCACAATACATAAACTACAATAACACCATATGGCGAAAACAAAGTAATGTACCTTCTTGTATTGTCTTCGTCACCAAAACAGAGATGATACACATTAATTTGAATTTTGGCCTTCAAAACAAAGCTCATTGACACAATATATGTTAAGAGTAAAGCAACTAGTCTCTCCTAAGGAGTAATCTTGCAGTAAATTACTTATCGCCAGTGAATATGCAGCCTAAGTTTCAATGAGAAATATCAGCTATTTTCAATTCTGAAATGCAAAGAAAAATAATCTTTGTCCGATAATTTTTCTCTTTAATTGCTCCATACCTAGGCCTGATAGCTTCAGTACATATATAAAGCTTTAGTTGGAAAGGCCTAACCTTGTGAGAGGCGCTCAAATCAGTTGATTCAATACAAGCTGTGTCGCTTAGGTTTGAAGTTTTTCTTCCTTAATAAAGCACAACAACTTGTCACGAAAAACTGGTGAGAAGATATGGTCCTGTTCTAAACACCTCACAAAATCCGCTGCGTTATCCACATTTCCCTGCTTTTCCCAGTATTTTACACATGTAGCTAAGGTCTCCTTGCTAGGTTTATAATTAGGCGGGCATATTGAGATGGCCTTCTTCAATGCTTCTACAGCCTCTGGGACTAGATCTTCATGTATGTATCCATTTGCCAAGTGACACCATGTGGTGACCCATGGAACACCCCCTTTTGATATTCCTTTGTCCATTAGGGCCTTAGCCTTCTCCAGAAGACCATTTCTACAATAACTGCGAATCAAAACATCTGGAACACGGAAATCATAGGACAAAGCTTCGGATTCCCATTCCTCAAAGATCTTCTCAACTCCTTCTGTTGTATCACCAAATTTCATTAATGCGCTCATCACAGTAATGTAACCTTTATTAAGAATTCTCATGTTCTGCTTATACAAATCCCACACTCGGTGCACCTCTTCTTTCTTTCCAGCTTCCGCATACAGTTTTAACAAACAATTATATGCACCATTACTTTTCTCATGATTCAAAATCATGCTTTCAAGTTTACTCAGCAACTCTAGAGCTTTTTCCACCTGCCCAACTTTCAAATACAACTCTGCTGCAATACTGTAAGTATCCCAGTGCAAAATGATTTGCTTATCAGATTCCATTATCGCTAATATTTTATCCATTCCCTCAGAATCTCCAGCAGCAGCATATGCAGTTAATCGTATTGTGAGCGTGAACTCATCAAAATTTACGCCCTTCTGCTCCATTTCATTCATCATATTATCCATTTTCTCCCATGTTCCTGTTTTATAATAGAGGTTCATCATATGGTTGTAGCACAATGTACCCTTAGCAAACCCCATATCTCTTAGTTGTTGCATTATGGCCTCAGCTTTCTCTACAGACTTCTCATTGGTATAGCAATTGAGAAGAGCAGTATACACCTCAGGGCGTCTCAGCATCTGTGGAATGCTATTGAAGTATTTTTCAACCTCTTCTAGACCTTTAACTTTATTCATTAGGTTGATTCGTGCTGCAACATCAGCAGGTTGGAGGGGGTAATATCTTCTGTCCGTCATCCAATGAGACACCTGTTCACAAAATCACAAAGATGAAAGGGAGAAATTAATAGGATCAAGTATGAAGATATATAAGAAAGTAGCTCAGATCTATTCACACCAACAAATCTTGGTCTTGCAATGTGAGGAGCTATTTTCTTCATTCCTATGCTCATTAGCTGTTATAAATTAACAAAGTGACTAATAACCACAGGAGTAAGGAACAACACATCTGCAAATTATTTTTTTCCACGGACTTAATCACAACTAGGAAGCAATAGATGTACACAACATTTGTAGGTTATTATTTTCATAGTATCAACTTGCATAAACTGAGTTATCACAGACTTTGTTCTTTAAAGTGGCAGGGCCTTTTGAGTGGTATGCCATAGCTCATTGGTGACTTCTAACATGCACTTGTTCAGAGGCAAATGAAGCCTTTTGGTTATGGGCTCATCTGAACCCATAATTTTTCACACAGATCATAGATATATATATGTAAGAACTTGTTACAATTTCAACAATTATTTAGATTTGAACCCATAATTTTAATTTACGGTAAACAGGTTTAGTGCTAAAAAGCTCAAAGGTTCAAACCATTAAGTTTAAATCTTGGATCCGCCTCTGCACTTGTATACATATGCAACAAAGGTGCCAAATAAATCAACTGCAGTAACTTATTTTCTCCACTAGTAGTGAAATGTGGAACAGAAGGGCGAACCATGAGATGACACGTGGTAGAAGTGACAAGTCACGGCATATGAGACAACACAAAGTCATTTTAAGAAGTCAGTAAGAAACAGGGTCGGTACAAAGTCATCTGGAAACGATGCTACGGTGAAAGCCCATCTAGCTCCGGAGAGGCGGAGGATGTGGTACCGGGTACGAAATGCAGACCACATTACACTCATTCAAAAGTTCAACCGTTATGCAAGATCACGAGATCATTGCCAACCGTTACTCTACGATGATAACGAACCGTTAATGAGCAATTAATAGGCTTTAAGAGGACATATTTTGTGGATCTTATCCCTTGATTTTAGCTATATATAGGGCCTTACTTCCTTGGTAGAGAGGACCCAAATTTCATTCTCACACACGTACATACAACACTATAATTCACTAAGATCTCAAGTTCATAACACACAGATGTATACTTTCCAGCATTGTAGTCAGCCAACTTCCTCAAAGCTCAAGCTAATTCAATCTTTTATTTAATTCATAACAATTTAACCATTTGGTACAAATTCATATTAGAGTCATATTTGCTGTAGCAACTAATTTGGATTATCCATTTGAGTTCATCTTTGTGTCATTTGCTTAAAAAAACAGAGAACACAAACAGTTTCTTTCACAGTGCATTGTATCAAAACTCACTAAACAGCCAAAAAAAAAACAGAAATAAAGTACCTCAAGGGCATGTTTGTATCTTTTGTAGCTGTTTAATCTTTTGATAATCCACTGAAGCTCGGATTTCACCACTGTTTTTCCTTCTTCAACCCATTGTTCCAGTACTGGAACCATAGACACGTCTGGGCTACCTAAAGGTGCAATTCTTGCGAAAACCCAGTCACGCTTCTGATTTTTATCTTGTTTAGTAGATGTTGTTCCATAGAAACGGTTGATTATGGTTCTCTGAAAATGTATTGGATTTTGTTTCCGTAAGGCAGAGAAAGAAAGCTGTTTCATTTTGGAGAAGACGAAGAAGAAATAAATTTGGGGGTTTTAGGCGGGTTTAAGAAGCTTCGTATGACCCGATCCATTTGAAGTTTAGCCCAAATGAGAAGGAAGGTAAATTTTGTAGTCCAGCTTATTCCGAGCCCAATATATGCTGGGCCAAGGAACTGTCTTATCCGTTCTTTTGGGGGTGGGGGGGTGGGGGAGGGGGAATTGGCAAAAATAGCCACTTTTTATTTGGAAAATTTATTGAAATACACGTCTTATTATTCCCTTATTTCCAATATCCCCTTCTATTTCTAAAATCTACTAAAATCCCTTATTTCTTTAATGTATCCGAGCTACATATTAATGTATCAGAGCCAGTATTTAATGTATCCGAGCTACATATTTTGTATCCGGTTTATTTTATAATGTATCCGAGCTAGTTTTTAATGTATCCGAGCTACATATTATGTATCCAAGCTAGGTTTTAATGTATCCGAGCTACATATTATGTATCTGGTTTATGTTATAATGTATCCAAGATACTCTTTAACGTATCCGAGCTACATAATATGTATCCGATTTGTGTTAATTTTTAAGGGATTAATGTAATTACAAACTAAAGAGGGATAGATTGTAATTTCAAATTAAAACTATGTGATTCCTAAAATTTATCCTTTTTATTTAGCTACTTTTTGACACTTTTTTTTTATAACAAAAGTAAACTTATTACTTGAGAGAAGTATTGAAAACACTCTTAAACTTGGCACAAATTATTAGTTTCATTTTGAACTATTGACAGTCTTAAAAACACTAATTTACTTGACTAACGGAACTTAAATATAATACACCCTAATACATCCGCGATCTTCCGCATGGCATAGCAAGTGGTCTCAAACTATTGTAAGAGCATGATACTCTTAATAAAAATTCGAGAGAAGTGTCGAAAATACCCCTAAATTTGACGAGAATTTAGGGGTGTAATTCACTCACGTTACAAGATCTGAAGTGTATTTAAGTTCAGTTAGTCAAATAAAGGTGTATTTTTAAAGATGACAATAGTTCAGGGATGGTTTCAACTTTCAATGATTCTCTCTCACTAAAATATAATTCAAAGATTAGTAAACTAAAAAATACACAATGTTGCCTGTCGGAGTTTGAAATTCTTTAAAAAGTGTAACTCGAGCACACTATGCTGGAATTTTAAAATTTTAAATGTAATTTTAATGTATAATAATAAAGTTCCAATCCAATTATTTTTTTTAAATTCAATTCATAGCTAGACTAGTTCAAATTTCAGTAGACAACTATGAAGTTGGAACTCCGACACATGCAATATTGTCTTTTTAGTTCAATAAAACCTACCATGGGTGATCTTTAATTTTTGAACAAAATATGTGTAGCATGAGTGTTTAATTCGATTGATCCTAATAATAAATCGAAGGTTATGATGTCAAATATTGTTGAAGAATAATGAAGAAATTGAAGGTCACAATGTCAAGCTTTTACTAATAATTCAATTAAATTATATCAGAGTTCGAAATTCTTTTAAAGGTAAAACTCAGAGTACACTAGATATTTAATTTGATTGATCTCAATATCTAGTCATTACGTTGATTTTTTTTTTTTTGATAACTAGTGAAAGGAACAAGTCAAATTAGGACAAATGTATGATATAACATAGCATGTGTATGATAACTAAATAGGAAAAATCGTCTTTTTAATAGACTCAACTTGAAGAAATTTATTTACCGCACGGCATCATGGGAAATTAAAGAACTTTAATTAAAAAATGTGAGATGAAGACGTTTGAAATAAAAACAATAACAAAAATCTAAAAATTGCACATGCAAACATGGCCTCTATACTCTAAAGTCCAACTTAACAGATTTAATTAGAGTCAAATCAAGTCAGCTAACAAATTAATTTTGATATAAATAAAATGAAATAAAATATATATAAAAAGGTGCACTTTCCTATATTTGGTTAGTTTATAAATTTTGATACGTAGAACTTTTTCCTAATCAAAACCAGCAAGTCAAAGGAATCTCATTGCTAATTATAAAGTTTATCATAATATATTTATTTAGTAGTATTACGCTAATAAAAGATGATACGCTAGTTTATGTGTAAAAAGTTCATAATATTTTTTTGGTTTAATTCGAGATTATATTATTTTATTATTGATCTAAACCTCGGAAAAATATACAAATACATGAAAATCAAGTTTTCAAGTGTTCCTCAATTGTGATTGTTCAACTGATTTGATGGTATTGAGAAGTCCAACAAAGAGTTTTGAATTTGTTGAAGGTCAAATATACTCTATTCAAAAATACTACGTAATTGTTCATCGCATGTAATTTCATTACCAAAAATAGAAAAAGAAAAAAAAAGTTTTTAAAACATCCAAAAAAAAAAAAACATATCAAGTTATCAACCAAGAGTTTGAATTTGTTCAAAGGTCAAACATATCCAAATATTACGTAACTGTTCATCACTTGTAGTACTAAAAAGTAAGAATAGAAGAAAAAATAAACGTATTCCAAAAACATACCAACTACGTGTTTGGTAGAAACAAAAATATTTTTCAAAAAATTAAAATATTTGTATATAATTTAGATAAATACTATAAAAAATCGTATCAAATAGTGGTGATAGAATCTATGATGGTGGGCGAAAATGAGGTGAGTTTGAGAATAACAAAATCAATGTGAGAAGCTATTTCTAAACCTTTTTTTTTTTTCTATTTTCACTGAATGAATCATTTCCTCATTTTTAGTAACTTGTTTTCTTAAAAAAAATTAAATTAAATTTTTTGATAATTGAACATTAAAAAAAATCAGAAAATAATGAAGACGGCTATTAATTTAAGAAGCATTTTATTTTCAAAAAAGCCTCAAATGAAACGGCTGAAATATGTGTCATGCCGTGCGTGCACAAACATAGTGGTGTGGAAAATAAATTTAATTTGATTTTTTTGGATTTGCATTAATAATTGAATAAATAATTTTGAATAAAGTGACATTACTCTTCCAGACACTTCCTTCTTACCCAGCACACGACACGACAACAATATGATATGATATGATATTGTATGTTTGAAGAATGAGTATTGGTCTTTGACGTTACGTTAAAAGAAATTCTAATTAGGCAAATGTGTCCAAAGTCCATGTATCTTTGGCTTATTATATTCAAGATCATGAAACTTCTACACATACTCTATAGTCAAAGATAATTATCATATATATCTCCATCACCACAAAAAGATAAAAAATATCCACTGATTGAATATTTTGTCGTCCATAGAATTTAAAAGGTTTGCATGCATTTGACAAAGAAAGCTTTGGTCTCGAGTTTAAATTTTAGGTATGGAGAAAATTTTATTAAGAATATTTTTTTTAAAAATTGACTTCATATATAGTACGTGATTTGAATTTAGTCGAAATTTCAATGCACACTCAAATATTAAGTGGGGGAAAAAAAAGAGAAAATTATGTAATCACAAGACAACATAATCTCTAAAAACCCTACCATTTAAATTAATTACAAAATTTCTCTTTTTAATTCCTTCTCTCTCTTAACATACATATACATCACTTCACCTAATTTAGTTTGTGTACTAGTACAAATCTTTTTGTTGATACATAACCTCAATCATTTCAAATCTAAATCAATATGAATTTGGTTTATAGTTATATATTTGATACATAACTTATACATCTGATACATAACTTATGTATCATTTGCTATTATATCGGGTGAAGGAACAATTTATCATCGAGTTCTTAAAAACCTGAGATTATTATAATTTGAGAAACTTTCAAGATATAATATAGTTAACACCCAAAATTGTTGAGATTTTGTACTTTATAACTTTAAAATAAAATAAAATAAGGAAAGCCCACCAAAAGCGATAAAATAGAACAAAACGTGCCCGGCCCCTTCTAAAAACTTTCAATAATACATATTACACGTTATTATAAATAGAACAACAAGCACTACACCCTTTTGGTTACTCAACAAAATCCCATTTATATAGCTATGGCCACAGATAATCGGAATATCCATCGGAAAATCGGACGGTCAACGACGAGGATGAAGTGTCCGGCGCCATTCTTATCGAAAACTTACGATCTTTTGGAAGAGCAAAAAGAAGAGAATAATAATAATAATATTAAGGTTGTTTCATGGAATGGTGAAGGAAATGGATTTGTTGTGTGGTGTCCAGATGAGTTTTCTGAGGTTATGTTACCTAAATACTTCAAGCACAACAATTTCTCCAGTTTCATTCGACAACTTAATACCTATGTAAGTCTATCTTTCTTTTTTCTTCGTTTCAATTCGTTTATCTTGCTTTTTGTTTTATAAGTGGAATGCATGATTGTTTCATAGTAATATTTTTTTTTATTATTATTATAAGCCGTTTTATGTTAATGTTATAAAGTTTTCTACTATGATAATATTTTGGCAGATAATAAGATGAAGTATAAATGTACCTTATGGTAAAAAAAAAAAAGAAGAAGCTAAAATTAGTCCCTTCAATCATAGGCCCAGAGAAATGTTATTTCAAACTTTCAACCAAATTGACTCAAGTTGTCTTGTGGAATATGCCATGTATTTGTTGGTTGGTTTGATATAAATTTACTGTGAAGCTAGTCTACATTGGTGGCCCAAAGTCAATTTATTAAGCAATTATATTAGCAAATTGTAGTCCATTTGATTAACTTCTGGTTGTGTAATTTCCACTAATTTATTTTTTAAAAATCACATAATTAATTGCTGTCAAAATGGCCTACCTATATATTTTGTACCGCTCTTTAATTTTAGTTATCACTAAATATTTTTACATCATAATACAACATTCTTAAAGAACTTATGTCCGTCCCCTGTTAGATCTAAATTTGATTGTTAAGGACAAAATCAAAATTAAAGATCAGCTCATTTAAAATATAAACGGTCTTTATCCAAAAAAGTTTCCAAAGATTTATTTTGGAAATATCGTAAAAAATATTGTAACTTTTTCATTTCATTTTTGTCAAATATTTGGTCTATAGTGACATCTCTTAGTGACTAAAATGGTAGTCAAATTGGTTGAAAGCCAAAACTGATCAACAAAATCATCCTACTCCAAAGTCAAATTTTGATGACATCTTGTCCTGTTATGGTTTCGTGACGAACTTATTTGACAATAAAATAGTATACACTATTTCATTTACAATTGAAGAAATTGACTTCGGATAAAGATTTCTTAAGATTCTAAAACTCGTTTATATAATTCACATAATATTTATTTCTTTGAGCTAGCTTTTTAAAATGAATTATAAGATAGCTCAAGATCAGTTTGATCTTGTGGTGAAAATCATTTATACCTCCGAACGTTATTCACTTATGTCTTGCGCATAATACATTAACGTGCTTCTTTAGAAGGGGAGAATGATTATTTCTCTAGATTGAGGGGGAGGGGGGGGGGGGGGTTGATTTTTAAAGTAGAGTTCGGAAGTGAAATTCACCCTTTTATCTTGATATTAGACTTCTACGATCTTGGTAGAAAATTAAATAACTTTTATTTATGTATTTATTTGATTAAATTAATGTTAATAATTCTTTTAAATGTATATAGGGATTCAAGAAAGTAGCATCAAAACGTTGGGAATTTCATCATGAAAAGTTCCAGAAAGGGTGCAGGCATTTGCTAGCAGAAATAACAAGAAAGAAATGTGAGCCAAGTGTATTTCCTACATACTTAAATCCTTCTAAAAAGAGCACATTATTATTAGCTAGAAATAATCAAGAGAATACAACAAGGCAACTTCTCATGGAAGAGAACCAAAACTTGAAAAAGGAAAAAATGGAATTGCAATTGCAAATTGCACATTTCAAAACATTGGAAATGAAGTTGTTGCAATGCCTTTCTCAATGTGTGGAAAATCCACATAATAAAACTAGAAGGTTGTTTTAGACAGTGTTTTATACATCGAGCTACTTTTTATCTTTTCTTAATCATACATGTATAATTAAATATATATATACCCTAGCTACATATCGGACTATTTTATTATTTTTTTCAGAAAGGGGAATAAGGGAGAAATAATTAAACCCCCTCCCATGCACCTCTAAATCTCCTAATAGTATATTGTTAATAACAAAATTGGGAGTTGAATCTTTCAAGTCTTGCCTAAAATTAATTAGTTGTTCTAGTCGTAAGTTAATATTCGTTTCAACACATTGATTAATTCTAGAACTAAAATTTTCAAAAGATGAACTTAACATCTAACGTTAATTTAAAGCCAATTTATTCCTTTGAAAATTCTTGCATTTTTGCTGACTAGAATTAAGAGATTTGACTTTTATTAATATCAATTTCAATTTCTACAGTAATTAGGTAATTGCTTTTATTGTCAAGTTCATTGTTTTTCTTGGCCACAGACTAAATTGACTACTTATAACTTTAATTAGTTGATTGGAAGAAATACAAGAATGTAGGTGAGAAGTAAATCATTTGTAGAACTATGATTATATCATACGCAACTTGAAATGATATATACTAGTACTAATAGTATTGTAAAAAAGTTCGGAAAATATAATTTTGTTTAAAGCGTGTTAAAAATATTATTTTTAAGAATATTTTGTCTAAATAATGAAAAATATTATAAGACGTATTTCTTAAAATTTATCAACTTCTTTTGATAATTAATTGGGAGTAGAAACAACAGACTTCAAGAAAGAAAATCCTAACTTTTTTTAGATAGGGGAAAAAAGAGAGTAGATAGAAAAAAATAGGGAAAAAAGTCTGAAATATATCTGAATTTTGGTTAAAATTTTTGTTTCGATATCGAA